CGCACGCACGCACGCACGCACGAACGCACACACGCACGACGCACACACGTACGCGCGCGCGCATACACATAAAATTTGTAAAAAAATTTAAGAAAATTAATAAAATACACTATAAAAAAAGTGTTTAATTTTAAAATATTAAAATATTTTATTCTTGTCTCCGTTTTTTAAACACTTCAAAATGTTTTAATTTCAAATTTTTAATAAAACACTATGTGTTTGGATTTAAAACACATAATGTTTAAATTCAAACACATAGCGTTTTGTTTATGAAAACCTTGTCGAAAAAGTTTAAAACTAAAATTTCTTAAAAAACTGAGACAAGAATAAAACATTACAATATGAATTGAATTATCAAAAGGCTCAATATAATAAGAATAAATCAGCAATTAAAAAGGGTTACGAGCCATATGACATACAAAATACATTTTATACAAAAATTTCCATATAAGAAAAATATAATATAAAGAATGTTTAGCAATTACATGTAGCATTAGAAACAGTTTCAACCTCTATCGGATCATTTTCAATGTAAATAATCCAAGAATTCAGTAAAAATACAACATATATATATCGATTGCATTCCTTATCGCTTGATATTGTGCAGTCCAAAAAATATCTTTTAATGATCGTGAAAGTGAACGAGTCTAATTTTTTCGAGATCTACAATATATAAATACTTTGATTTATCGTAGTGATGTAAGTCCGATAATAATTGAGAAATGCAATATATATTGAGTCACAAAAGATAAAAATATAAGCCATGATAGTTACATTTCAAAGAACACATGTATCAACAATGTCAAGCAACGTTATGAGCATTTTAATATGTTAAAATGAAACACTTCTTTTTTGAGTGTAAATTTGTAAAAGAGTTAACTTTTTTATATGACACGCTTATCATATTAAATAAATGATAAATTTTCTATTCTTTTTTTTAAAACTAACACATTTTTTTAGAATGTACAATACAAAAGAAATTCCTATTTAATTTTTTTACTCTTAGTGAAATTGTTTGATTTATCCTCGACACGAGCATAAATTATTGTATTTGATGATATCGAAAGGATTGACGTCCCACCAACGATGATGCTTAGAAGATACCGGGTGACATTCATTTTTCACAGGCGCGTTACGCGTGGATGTTATCGCGGATGGTCGGAAAGGAAAATTGACGTTTGGTCGCCGTTGTTATTGTTCGATGACGACGTACGACAAGAACCACTGGGAAAATGTGAACGTATGGACATTCGACGTTGTCTGACTCGACTCGGTGTTCAGTGTCGTCAGTTCGATCCGGTCAGTGGGCCATTCAGCATGAACAACGAGCGCAGTAAGTTATATTTTTATACGCTAGCCTGTCTACCTGACTTTCCTTTTCCGGTGCACTGTATGTACGTATATAACCCGGTAATGTTCCCGGTGATATTTTAAAGTTGAAGTCAAGAAAAGTTTCCGCAGTTTTTACATTACAAGCCTGTTATACTTGCTTTTGCAACTGCGGATATAATACTAACAGAAGTAACAATAATGGAAAAAAAAATATAATAATATAAACTTAACCGCAAAATTACAGATTAATTTTTTAATTTTTAATAATAATGTCTCTTTCTTTCAATTGTATTCTTTTATCCTTCCATACTCAGAAATAAAACAAATATTTATCAAAATAATCTAACAGAAAAAGATGAGAAAAAGGCACAATTGAAAAAAAGCACAGTTGAAAGTTGCGTAAAAGGGTAAACTAATACATAAATCCTATTTTATTGTTAAAACTTTTGTTTTATGTTTATTTAATCAGTACAATTATTTTAAATATAATTTTATTGTTGTATTTGTTATTAATAATAAAAGAATTATTTGTTTAAGAAGCATAAATTAATATTATTGCACAAAAAATTTTATTATGTATTGTAAGATTAAAAATTATGTAGAAAGAGATTATACATATATCTATAAAAAGATTTTGCTTATTTAAAATACAAGAAACAAAAAATTAATAATCAATTTTGATATTATTCAAAGAAAAACTTTCATTTTATCCATGATTGTTTTTTTAATTTATTGAACGCTAAGATGACATTTTGTTAAGCGATAACAAAACTAGGCTATGTGAAGATAGAAATTTCTCTGTTAATAAATGTAGATCGGTCAATAGTGTTAACACATTATTAAAAAACAAAATAAAATATTAATTTTTTCAATACAGTATTTCATAGTTTCTTATAATAATTAAAAAATGTATTGAATTTGTATGTGATAGAAATAATTGCAATTTGCAAATATTATACTTTATTTTTAGAGATAATTATTATTTAAATTTATAAATTGCTTTCCTAAAAGAAAGATATAAAGTTAAAATAAACTGAAAATTATTTAAAGTAAATATGTATACATGTATATATAATTTTGTTATTTATTTATAAAAAATTAATTTTTTTTAAGTATGTTATTAATTTTCTTTGTTACTAAAAATTAATAATATTACAAACGTCTAGGAAATAATATATGGATATACATTATAAACACACAAGGGCTTACTTTTAAAATAAATTAAATAAATTAATGGACTTTTGATATTAAAAATAATAATAATTTAGGCAATGCGAGTACTTATTTTTTTAAACACGCAGGTTAAATTTACGTATAATTGCTGCTTTTTGAAATAGTATCGTGATTTGTCTCACTGATGGTAACTATTGTTTTCATATTTTTTCTTTTTTCAGAGCATGATGGGTCCGTTTATTCGGTCGAAAGTCAGAATCACCTGGTGCCGATAAGATCCAGGAAAACCTTGTTAGTAAGAAAGCGAGATTGACAGTTTTCTCTCGACAATAATTCATTAAATTGCTTCATTAAATTGAAAACATATATTTGTTTGCTGTAAGTAAATCAATCAGATTCTCCGCTAATTAGATCTATTATGTTTATAGCTTCAAGGAAAAAAGTCGGATTTCCAATCTGTCGCTGGTAATTTTTTTCATTCTGGTGGGTGCCTTGTCCATAACAGTTGTAGTACTCGCTATACTTTGTAAGTTTCTTCTTTAATATGTCTTATTTGTTATAGAAGGGACTATGTTAAAAATATATCTGTTATGTATTGAAATATTGTATATATGTAATTATATAATTATATATTACATTAAAATATATTTTTTGGAATTATGTATCAATCATTTAAAAAATATGTATTATATATTTTTAATTTTTTAACAAACAAAGTATAAATTACTATGGTAAAAGTATTATTCAACTTACATATATTCGTGATAAGAAAATAATACATTAAAAAAATAATGCATGCAAATTGGAATTAAAATATAAACATTTAAAATTTCTTAAATGTTATCGCATTAGTCATTTTATGTCTAGATATCGTATATAAATTCTGTAATTGTGAGTTCTATCAAAATTATAGTAGGTATATATAACTCTTACTTTTGTTAGTAGCAGGTATATAACAACCGGAAATACTTTTCAGTTTGAAAGAAATGATTCAACTCTTACGATGCTTTTATATATCTTCTTTACAATTACATATCCTTGACAAATTATTGGGAAACCATTTAACATATCTTCGATCGCCATTGACATTGTGTAAATATTTTAGCGAACATGTGTCTATGGATTGTACAGCGTATCACATGTTCCAAGGAACAACTTTGTCGCGTGCTTATCATTATTGTTATGCGATAATCTATAGCATTCTACATAAGACCGTGATTTCTAAAATTAAATTATATATCCCTATATTATGCAAAATATCCTTTAGAATTACCAGACGTTTTTTAAACCACAATTAATAAAATCTGGTCGTATTTTCTTTACGATAAAATTATCAAAATACTTTTTAAATAATTAAATAAATATGTTAAAGACAAATAACGAGATTATATAACCTAATTAAATTAAATTTTAAAATGTACAAAAGAATATTAAAGTATATAAAAATATAATAAGAAATAAAGATATATAAAAGCTAATTAAATGAAAATTAATATATAATAAAAATTGGGAAAATGCGATAAACTAACAAAATTAAAAATTTTGAAATTTTTAGGATACTCTATAGATACATATTGTTGTTCCAGATGCGTGTAAAAATATGGTGAAGATATGTGATAGCGAGGACTGCGTGCGAATAGGTAAGTATTATACAATTATTATTATACTAATATAATAGGGTGATTATATAAACTTGCACTATTATTCAAATGGACAAACATTACACAAAACGATAAAAGAAAGAAATATATAGAATTACTGTCGTGGAAACAATTATTTATTCTTCTTTGTCCACCTAGCTGCTAGTTTGAAGGAATCTATGAACGAGTCTGTAGATCCTTGCGACGATTTTTATCAGTGAGTAGATTTATTGTCGGCGCGGCATGCGTGCTATTATGTCATATCTTGGTTGTACGCATCTTGTAAACTGTATATCAGACATAAAATTCTTATATCATTCTTTAAATTTATTATTTCTGTGTCACGCAAATATGTACTCGCGTGTTGCGCTTTCACTAGTTTATATGAGACATCGATCGTGTTACAAATTAATACGCTTTTTCTAGAATAATAACTAACGCCGATATTTTATTATTATTAATCCATTTATTTAATTAATTTATAAACTTTTTTAATTAATTAATTTATAATTTATACATTTATTATCTTTGTAGTGTGCGATGCTTTCTCTCCTTTTATAGATATGTGTGCGGTAGATGGTCGCAGGAGCATCCTATTCCGGATTCCAGCCTGACGAATTCCTGGTTCAGCGAGCGCAGTAATCGCATGTACAGAAAGATCAGAGATCTACTAAAAGTCAATATATCTGCAAGTGAGGTACCGTGGGCAGTGATGCAGGCCAAGGCTCTGTTTACTAGCTGCATGGACATGTGTACGTTGCTGTTTTTCTTTAATTAGGTAGATGTCAAAGAAACAAATGCTATAATCAGAAACATATTAATTAAAATATAATATATATAATATCCAAGTAATAATTAATAATAGTACGTGTAAAATATACTGTAAGTTAAATTTTAATGTCATATAAATTATCTTTTAATTTTGAATATTTCTTATTAGAAGATAAATTTCAGATACCATGAATGAACTCGATTTGTCTCCACTGTTCGACCTGTTGAAGTTATTAAATTTACCCATTGTACCGTTTGTTACCAACAAAACGACTAATTATGTCGAACGACTTGCTAGGGTAAAGAGAATTTTAGGCCTTGACGTTTTCTTTGGCTTTGAAGTCATATCCGATCCAAAGAACAAGAGTAAGAACATATTATATTTCCATCTTCCGAGTCATTCCAATCCTTTTCTCACGTACGTATATTTTTATTATACCTATAATAATATATTCATTTCATATTATTTTTAAATATTTAGCAAATTACTTAATGTTGTAATTAGTACACATAATAACAAATTTTTTATTATAATAATAATAGCGATGAAGAATTGGAGAAGCGATTACAAACCATCAGATCGCGATTGCGAAAATTAGATGAGTTAGATGACGAAACCATGAACAAGGACGAAGACGCCGAATTCACCTATATGTTTGATGTTATTAAACTCATCATTAACAATGGCACTGATAATAAATGTACCTCAGATAATGAATCGATATTTGAAGATGAAGTATTAAAAGAATTTGTTAAGGAGCTTTACAACATTAGCAATCTTTTTTATAATGTAAGTATTTTTTATTAATAATGAATTCAGTTGGATACACTAGTGCGCACCGGTGCATATTAAAGTTGTTGTACACTGATTTAATCTGATGATGCAAGTGTAAAAGTGAAATGCAAATATTTCGAATTATAAAATACATATTTTATTTAATAGTACAACAAAATGTATTCAGAGTTCATGGTTTAACCTGTGTGTGTATGTGTGTGTGTGTGTGTGTTTTTATATTTATATTAAACACATATATCTTTACATCAATTTATATATAACGGCTTTAACATGCACTAATGTGCATTGAGTACGTTTACTTGAATTCGCTATAAATAGTATAAATCAAATCTAACAAATATTTTTGCATGAGCAAAATTGTTAAAACCCTAGTTTTATCATGTTCTACAATATTTGTTGTAAAATTTTTTTAAAGTGCATGTTTCAAAATACATATAATTAGGATTTTGAAAAACATTATATATATATTCAATTAGAGAATACAAAAATTTAATTCTTTTACAGATGGTTCAAGCAGCTCAAAATCAGAGTATTTCTTCAGAAAACTTGAGCGATAGTGATTATATGCTAGTAGACGATCTACAAAAATTGACAGATGATCATGTAACAGATAGTAATTTATCTCTCACGCCTATACCGATTTGGCGGCCCTTTATTGAATCCATTTTCGAGGGAATAGTTAAGTTGGATCTTGATAACAAGGACAAAGTTCTCATTGGTAATCTGGAGTATTTAAAAGATGTTGCATTATTATTAGCTTGTTTCGAGGAAGAAGCCATAGGCACGTATATTCCTGATTTATAATATAATAATTTTAATTAATTACATTATTTTTGTTGTTATTTAAATTCAGTATTCACTTTTTAAAAAAATGTTTCCATAATTAGAATCAATATTGATTTAGAAAGCTACATTTGGTGGACGGTTGTGGACATTGTGGTGCCCCACGCTTCCGAAAAGCTCAGGGATATTTGGAACAAGTACATTAGCAAGGTAACAGACGTGGAAGTTATAGGCGAATCAAAATCGTTATTCTGTGGATCAGTTGTCAATAAATTAATGGGTATCTATTTAAAACTTCAATAAATTTTTTCGTAAATAATATATTTGACACAAATACATCAACATCTAATTTTTATTATAATGCTATATTTAGATTTAATAAATATATCTTCGCAACCTTAGGTGCTTTCAATTAATAATGTCATCGACTTTCAGGAATGGCTGTATCGTGGCTATTTGTAGATCCGACATTTCACGAAAATAAAGTTAACAAAGTACAAGAAATGCTAGAGGATATAAGAGAGGCATTCGGCTTACTTGTCGCTAAAACGAATTGGATGGATCAATCGACGAAAACAGCAACACTTAAAAAAAGCCAAAAAATGGAGTACGTAATTGGATTCCCTATGTGGCTTTTTAACGAGGAGAAGCTTGATGAATATTATGGAAGCGTAAGTTTTGTAAATAATTAATATATATAATATTATAATAGTTATAAAACAATTTTCTGACAAAATAAGTGAAAAATTTGTTTTGCGGAAATTTTACGTATTTAAAATTTTTCATTTAATTGTTTTAATTATTATCATTATATATACATATATTTACGTTTATTTATTTTATCTTACAAAGTATAATAGCATTATTTGTATGTAGTTTGCATAACATCGATCCATTAATGTTTAGTTAGATCTATCGGAAACAAAATACTTGGCGAATATGGTACAAATCGTTCAAGTGCAATTGAACAACACGTGGTCAATCCTGCACGACGAAAATATATTTAATGTGTCATAGTAAGTAAAACATTTTGAAAGTTGTTTTCTGTAAAAATTAGTACTAAGGTTTTCTTTTTATTTATGCTTCGCTTTATTATGGATGATCAGTTGGGCAACTGATCCTACTGATGTAAACGCGTTTCACACTTTTGAACTTAATCATATAAGTATGTAACAATTTAATTCTTTATTATTAAAAAAATGATTAACATACATACATTATTAAAAAAGGGTTTAAAATTATATAAATATGTATAAAAAATATGCAATTTGCAGTGGAAATATATAAAATATTTTTTTCAAAAACTTAATATTAATTTATATAAGTATTATATTTTAATAATATAATACTAATTTTAATAATATATTAAATTACACAAAAAAAATTACACACAATAATAATAGTATATTTTATAGTTTTTATGTAAATGTACAAATTTTTGTAACATTAGGCATATAACGTTTTGATAACACATATTATATTTGCATCTTTATGTTTGCACATATTAATAACACAGAAAAATTGTACGTAACTTTTTGACGAATTTTCTGTTTAATATAAAAGTATATATAAATATAAAAATATATGTACGTATATATAAAAATATATGTATATATATTTACACAATTACATATATACTATTTATTACATACATTTACACAAGACTGTTTTTTTCAAAAATAATTTTTGAAAAAAACAGTCTTATATTTTCACTATAAATTGCGTAATTATTTATTTAATTTTACATGCTTTTTTACAGTATAAATATGTTATATTGTTAATAATCTGTTAGTTGAAAAAACTGTCTTCTTTGTGTGATTGTTTCATCAATGTTAAATTAACATATCCTTTCTTCTTTCACTATTTACACATGCAGCCATACCTGCTGGAATTCTTCAATTCCCATTTTATGAATTGGGTCTTGAGTAAGAATAGGAATAATTATTTTTATTATTAGCTTTGTGTATAAAAAAATAATACAAAAGTAAATACCTATACAAGTAAAAAATAAATGTAGAAAATAAATAGTAGAAAGT